TCTCTTATCTCTTACCCTCCTCCTAACCCTAGCTCGTCGTCACCAGAATCCCTTCGATCCATAGATTTCTTCTTCGATTCTAGGCCTTATATATCCGGCCTCCTATCTCTACTGGTTGTTCGACTTCCATGTTATTTGATGGAATCTCAAAGAGATTCGACACAGACTTGGTTCAAATCCCTCAGTTTCTCGATGAATCAGTCTATGTTCATTTCTATGTTTGTGAGTACTGATATCTTCGTGTTTATGGCTTCAAATCTCTGGTTGAAACCAGATTTTTTAACCTCTATTTATTTTTTTACATAACCTAATTATTTCTGGCTAAATCGTTCAGATCTCCTTAGATTTGAAGCGGTTTGAGTTTGTTTGTTACTTTTCCTTTAAGATTCTGCTATTTTTCTTATTATTGTTGATCGATTTTCGTTTTTCCGTAAAAGCTAGGGTTTTATCTTTTTAAGTTTCTGCAAAATGTTTTAAATGTTTAAATGTTTAATTGTTTAACTCTGATTTTCTTCCTTTATTTTTCGACTGATTTTCATCCCTATGTCTTTATGACCTAGGGTTTCTAATTATTCTACTGCTTGCTATAATATTTGCTCGTTTATTTTGGCTCTATCAAATAAACTGATTAATTGGTTTACTTGCTTAAATAAGGTTTGAAATTATACTCCTTTTCAAAACTGATATCTCTTCGAAAGATTCTTACTTATTCTTTCCATATATGTGATTCATAATTGGTGCTACTTTCTTTAATTATATTACTAGCCTTATTTCTGGGTTTTGATTATTTTGACCAACCTATAAATGGCCTCTGGACTTATTGATTTCCTTATTAAAACCTCAATTTTGTCCGCTAATTGATTTCGTATGAGATTCTCCTTAATTTAAGTGACATTTTCAGGATTTTGTCCTCTTAATTGATTGATGTTTAGCCCTAATTAACTGGTTAATTGATTTTGCATATCTTATTTGTGTGCCCTTGATTTCCCTACCTTACTTGTTTACTCTATTGTATGCTATATAATCCTTTCACCATTCTGATTTTAAAAGATACACCTACGTTTACGAGCATATGCTGAGACACATAAGACACTCTTACGCTTACGAGCACACGCTGAGGCACACAAGACACACCTACACTTACACACTTACACTCACACAACTTGAGTTCTTTCTATCACTCTGATTTTCTGCATTGTCTAGCCGGCTGAAAGACAAGGCTAGACTCATGGATTCCACCTGCCTTCACCTTCCTATTTACTTTCTTCACTAACTGGTATGTCTTAATTCCTGATTATCTTGTTATATTCTATGTTTATGTAGTCAGTCCATTACAGACCTCAGCATGTTTCTGTTTCTTGTTTATTTCTCTCTTAACTAAGCATGCCTTAATTCATGTTAACCTATCCTGTTCTATGTGCTGGTATGGTTAGTTTACCTTAGCATGTTTCTGTCTGATCCATGATTCCTGTGTACTTCTTTCTAGACTAGTATGCTTAAATTCCTATCATCCTGCTCTATGTGTTTGTTTTGGTTAGTTATTTTAACTTCAACATGTTTTTCTATTCAATACATGTTTATACAATTCCACCAAGTGATAATTAATAAACCAAGTCAACTTCAGTCATGTGAAACCTTGTTTATTCAGTTGTATGCCTCTGTTCATAACATGTTTAGGTACTGCAAATATGTATGGTCAGTTCTGTTTGTAATTCAAGTGCCCCTGCTCTTTTGTGATTGGTTTAATTGACACCGTATTTATACCAATCTGTCTAGATTCTGCTTGTCTAGGTAGAATTCTATTTCTGTTTGCTCCTGAAAAAATATTTTTCTAAAACTATCCCCTACCCCTTATATATACTATTTTCATAACTTCTACTCTTAGTTGCCTAGGTTCATACCAACTCCAGTGTGAGAACTTCCTAGGGTCCTTGAGACTCCTCCGAACTCTGACACATTGGGGCTGGTCTTCCAATCTCTTACAAACTGTTTCTTTGAGAAAGGTTCTGGTGTGAACATTGCCCAGGGTCCCTGAGGCCCTTAGAACTTTGACGCACAAGAAGCCCAGTTTTGTGTATCGCGGATGGACTGCTTGTATGCTTCAGACTTGCTTAGCTTGAAGGCCTGGTTTCCAGGTTGATATTGGGCTTGCGAAGGCTCCCTATAGTGTAATGAATAGCTTTGTATAATTCATTCATATTGGTCTGTAATAATGTAATAATTCTTATAAAAACTGATATGGGGTTATTAGCAAAAGCTGGGGAGGGATTTTTATATATCTTTGCCAGGTTCAGGCAGAAATCTTGCCTATAGGTTATTGTGTGAATGTTACTGCTCGCCTAGAAATCCTGCCTATAGGATCTTGTCTCACCACTTGTAATCCAGAATTCTCATACTCTGGAATACTAGACATCCTGCTTATAGTTTGTTTGTCATTTCTGCATCAAGAATTAATGTTCTACGCATATTCTCATTCTCAATGTGCATTAGAAGATCACGTATATAGGATCTTCTTTGTGTAAACTACTGAACTTGCTTGGCAATTTCTTAATGTATCTGCCCACATAGATTCTATGCTTATAGGAGATATATAAAAATTCGTTTCTGCAATTTAGATATCATGCCTATAAAGAATTTAAAATCAGTTTTCTGTATTTTAGATATCATGTCTGTAGGATATAAAATCAGTTTATGCAATTCAGATATCATGTCTATAGGAAATAAATAAATTAGTCCCAACACCTAGAAATCATGTTTATAGGAGCTAACTGATTCTGTAAATTAGAAAGCATGTCTATAAGATCTAAAGAGATAAAAACCTATTTGTTAAAATCAGTAACTGGTTTATAAACTGTAGTCGTTAATTATCAGTTTTAGATACCATGCCTATATGATTCTGCTCTGGTCCTCACTTAGGCAAGCCTGTAGGGTAATTAAGAATTCTAGGTCTAAAACTGTGATTTTTTGCTGCTTGGAACATGTCCAGATTCAGAATATTAACAAAATTCAGTAGGCAAACTGATAGGTAATGTTGTTGGCTTTAATAAAGTTGTGATGTATATTCTGTTTATGCTCATCTAGATATCCTGCCTATAGGGTTTTAAATTGATAAAATTCTCTGTTTGAATTGCATGCATTTGCTGTTTACTTGTGTAGGTTAACATGAGCCTTTATTTGCTTCTTATGTGACAGTCCTATTTGAATTTTTGTTTGTTGCTTAGCTTTCTCATTTTTAAGCAACATAAGTGAGTCTAGAACTATCCAAAGTAGAGGTCCTAAACACCTCCAGGACTATAGGTAAGGGACGAGTAGTGCACGCATAAGGTACGCATTAGAAGCTGCTGGAACGCTTAGGTAACAACTGAAAAATAGTAATGTGGTAGTAAAAGAAATAATGACCTGTGCGTTAATGCTATACGTAACACCCCAATTTGGGGAAAGTTACCAAGTATTGCATGGAAATGATCTTATAGGCTAAAAAACCTAGGACCCCTTTAACGTAATTTGTCTAAATTGTTTTCCATAAGAATAATTCGCTTAATTGAGTTTGGTCGGGACCCACCATTGTGGATCTCGAGAGGTGCCTAACACCTTCCCCTCAAGGTAATTTCGATCTCTTACCCGATCTCTGGTGATGTAAACTGGTTCCATGAGTTATTTGCTTTAGGTGCCCTAATGCACCCTAATCCGTTAGGTAGCGACTCTTCAAATCTCTTACCCAATCCCAAAAGAAAAGGAGTTTTTCTAAAAATATCGAAACCTGGACTTCGCGAGGAAAAAAGGGGCGTGGCATCAGCCACATAATTAATTCCAAGTGTAGTATTGATTTTCTACAATACAGGCACAAACAAGGCTGATTGAGCTCAACAATTGGTATGATAGTTCAGATTGATGATACATGGCTTGATTTGCTTGCCCCGACGAACTTGGAGATGCGCACACACAAAAAAGTTAGTTGTGTGCTTCAGTTGTTCTAAATGCTCCAACGATATAGGCGGCACACGGTAAATCTCATAATTTGACCCATGAATCATGGTAATGGACCACGTGACACTTAGTTCGATCGAGGGGTAGACCGGTGGATCGTGGTGTTGGAGCCACATAGAACTTAGTGGGCGTTTGGACATAAGAATTGTAAAATTTCAAAAAAAAAAAAAAGTGAAATTATTTTTCAAGTGAAAATAGTATTTGAAAATTAGAGTTGTGTTTAGACATGAATATAATTTTGGGTTGTTTTTCAATTTTTGTGAGTGATATGAATGAAAATTTTAAAAAATAATTTTTTGGAGTTTTTCAAATTTTCAAAAAAATCCAAAATTCATTTTCAAGTGAAAGTTGAAAATTTTTATGGCCAAACACTGATTTCAGAAAAAAGTAAAAAAATAATTCGAAAAAAAAAGAGAAAAAATTCTTATGTCCAAACGGGTTCTTAGTTTGAGAGAAAAAGATTATTGGGTATGCGAACATAGTTTCACGTTGCTATAAAATTGAGAACCTACTGCTTTTACTTGTCATATAGGCATTCTGAATTTCATAATCCTATTATATTTATTTTCTTCTCTTCAATTTCATTTCCTTTTTCCTTTTCATAAATTGATAAATAATAAAAATGATTACTATATTTCAAGGGCCATCATGGTAAATAAACACAGATGTTCCCACTAAGTAGATCTAAGAATCTTCATTTAGGAGCTCAACTACTGCTCCATCCGTTTTAATTTAAATGAGGTAGTTTGATTCGGCACGCGGAGTTTAAAAAAAAAGATATTTAAAACTTTTGATTTTAAAAATTTAAAGGGTAAAAGTTTTATGGGACCAAAATATTTGTGTAGTTATAAAAACTTTTTATTATGATAAAATAGGTAAAATAAAAAATTTAAATGTATATTATTCTTTTTTGAACGAGCTAATAAAAAATATTTCATTTAATTTGAAATAGAGGAATTACTATTTATTTGGCTTTGTCCACCATGTTATAAGTTCCCTTAATCAAAGAAACCTTCCACTTTCCCAAGTTAAATTAATCACTAAACTTAGTGCCCTACACATTCCTCTCTCTTGTCATCCAAACAACCATCTTCACATTTCTTCTCCGCTCCAACTCCTTCGCTCTTCCTAATATCTTGTCAAAACTCAAGACTCAATCTAGAGTCTCTGTGTATAGTCTATATTCATATTCAGGGTCGATGATGGTGGTGGTGATCAGAAGCAGGTGCTCTCACACTTCCCACATCACTGAAATTATTATCACCAGCTTCTTTCGCCACAAGCTCTAAATCACAAGTGTTTCCATATACATACTACTACAAAAGTAGTCTTTAACAAAGAAAAAAGATACACAAGATCATGCCGATCTTCGGTTCTTGATCTCTCTATGGCGGTTTCTTGATCAGGTTCTTTAATACATAGATTCTGCAGCTATGGCTGGTCCAGAATTGTTCTACGGCGATGCTGCTGGTTTTAATGGTATTCTGCTTCAGAACCAGGGGCTTATGTCTTCATTTGCTACAAAAGAGGCTGTTGGTTCTCCTGCTTCTTTCCTTGGTACATAATTCTCCTCTTTTGTTTCTCTGCGTTGACCCTTATTATATTTTGTTCTGTAATTAGCGTTTTCAAAAGTTACAAAGGGAAAAGCTGATTTTTTAATATACAGTAATTGTTATTGAAGTTGAGGTTTATTCATAAGCTGTAGATGTGATAGTATGCTTGGGCCTGCCGTTGTGTTATATGTTGAATAATGCTATCTTTGTATGTGGTATATTTAAACTTTGATATAAATCTGATCAGATCTTGATTCTTTAAATCAGTTTGGGATTTTTTTCGGTGTGTTATATAGAATTGGATCATTCGGTAGGTTATCTTTTATTTGATAATTGATGTGAATGATGAAATTGAACTTGTATATACGTAGATTGTGAATGATGGAAATGATTGAACTTTTATTTAGTGCAGTGAATGATGGAAATGATTGAACTTTTATTTAGTGCAGTGAATGATTGAAATGAAAAGGAATTTGGATTTGGAATTGAATTTTGTCGATTGAAATTCTGCTAATTGTTCTCTTGTCACTTTATCTTTCAGCCTCCGGTTCCATGGTCAGCTTTCGTGGTGTAAACGGAGGGAACAAATCAGCTAGGTCATTCTTTCAGTCAGTCGAAGAGAATGAAACAGATGAGTTGGAGGAATATTTACATCAACCAGAGCAAAAGAGGCGACTTACAGCTGACCAATTACAGTTTCTTGAGAAGAGTTTTGAGGTGGAGAACAAACTGGAACCAGAGAGAAAAGACCAGCTTGCTAAAGAGCTCGGTTTGCAACCTCGCCAAATAGCGATATGGTTTCAGAATCGTCGTGCACGATGGAGGACAAAACAGCTCGAGAATGATTACGAGGCGCTGAGAAATAAATATGACAATCTGAAAGCAGACTACATCAATCTTCTCAAAGAGAAGGATGATCTAAGAGCTCAGGTAATGACCTTTATAACATACTGAAATCACAAGCTCCTTTTGATTTTGTGTCATAGTAAAGTTTCATTTTTGAGCTAGTGGACAATGTTTATGTGAGAATTCAATCTTTGCGCAGGTTATCCAGTTCACTGATAAGCTGCTACTCAAGGAGAAAGAAAAGGGGGAACTGGCTACTTCTGATATAAAGGAACTTTCCGATGCATCGCCAAAAGAAAACATGATTGATCAGAAAGTGTCGGCTATTACCCTTAAGCAGCACGAAGACTTGAATTCTGTTAAAAGTGACGCCTTTGATTCAGAAAGCCTGGTGCAATCCTCTATCTTAGACCAGTCAGATTTATCTCAAGATGAAGAAGAAAACTTGAGCAAGAATCTGGTTGTACATGATCATTATCCCATGACATCCTCAAACTTGAGCTGCTTTGGATATCCAGGTGAAGATCAGGGCTTTGGTTTCTGGTCATTTTAAGTTCTTGAGTTTACGTAAAATATAGTTACATGTCCTTTGTTTGATTATGGTGGTGTCCGGGCCAGCGGCTTATATGCACCTCGCGACTCTGAATACCTGCTACTTTCCACTATCTCCATCTAGTTGGAGACAGGGCATAGGCTGACATTTTGACGGAAAAAAGTTCCAAGGTATGGGTCACTTAGTTGGGAACTTTTGGGTATTGTGCTTTATCTTGTTCATTGTACCTCTCGTGAAGTTTTAACTTTTGTCAACTAGGAGATGGATTTCTGAGTCTCAGCTATTAATTGGAAGTAGTATTCTGATGTATACTATGAATAAATCCATAAACATGTAAAATGGAGATGATGTTACCAAAAGGCTATTGTTTGTTAAATTCTATGATGTTCCAATAGATAGTCAGCTTTTTCCTTCATAGACTATTAGTATAACTTAACCCTCCCCCGCCCCTTCTTGAAGGTTAATTTTTCGATATGCGATTTTGTTAGTTTAATAAAAATAACTCTAAGAAACAACATTCAAATTAATTACTCAAGTTTTCTGATCTTCATCTTCTATTCTCAAAAGACTCTATGCCATAAATGGGTTAAACTTTTACTGCACTTTATTGTACGAGTGGAAGTCCTAGTCTTCCTAAAGTATAGAAGTCGTTGGTGGATTGAATGACAAAATCACACATTCACGATTTACATGCAAAAGTAAAATCACTCTTTGCTTGTCCTCTTAAAGAAACAAGTTGATTTAGTGGAATGCCTTGTAAAAGGGAAACAACCAGTATTTAACATTTAATAGTTCCAAGAATATTCTGTGGAAATCAAAGCAAATTTAGGATTCTGGTCTGCCATTGCTTTCAATTCTGCGTATCAACATTACATGAAGGAGGTGAATCCGGAACCAAAATGTAGTTTTTTGATTCAAAATACGCAAATAAGTGTTAAAAAAAAAGTTATCAAACTATATATAACGCCACAAATAGTGGCGCTATACAGTAACGTTAACTGCACCGTTACTGTATAGCGTCACTATTTGTGGCGCTATACATAGTAAAGCTGACACACCTTACATAGCGCCATTAATAGTGGCGCTATACCCCTTATTATCATCACACATAGCGCCATTAATAGTGGCGCTATACCCCTTAATACAAATCCTCCCGTCTTCTTCTTCTTCTTCTTCGTTTCATCTCCCTCATTTCTTACTCCCTTCTGGTCCCCCC